AACAATGTATATTGTTGTATTCACCCATATATTGCCACCCTTTGCGGTGGTATTTTTTATTCAAAATTACATGTGACCAACTTTTAAACATAATCTATTTAACAAAAAAAAAAAGAATCATCAAGTTTTTTGACGTCTATTCAACAACTCCTTTTTTGAAGGAAAAGAGATAATGGTCCATGCAAACGTTAGTAATCGAATATACAAACCATTTTCTTTCCGTATAGTAAAATTTGTACAGACGCGTCCTGTTAGACGTGAATCGTCCTTATTAGACCATATTATGTAATGTACAAATTCCAACAATATGGGACAGAATCAAAGCGTTATCTTGTAGGTCGTTAACCGCAATACAGCTCGATTAAATGCCAATGCTCAATACAGATACTCATATAAGATTCACCCAAACCATGCTTATAAATTGTATTAAAGATCAATCTTTAATATTATTTTAATAAAATAACAGTCTTATTAGTCGAAAAAAGTTATTATTCAGTGGAAGAAATCTAAGCCGATAAGTTATTATAAGTTTATAATAAAATTAAATTTGCATGCTATATTAAAGCAGAATGCACAAGGATTCACAAACAAAATGTAACACCCGATATATTTTAACTACAATTCAATGCAAATAAAAGTATCATTAAAAGTATCACTTAAACCATGACGTATATTAATAAACCTAGCAAGCTAACAGCATAGCAGTGGCGAAGCAATCAGCTTTGTAGCGGTTTCTAACGGTTGCCGTTGAGGAATCAGTTTCAAAATAGGAGGTTCAGATGCCTGGGTGATCAGTAATCGATTGCTGAAAACAGAATTTGAAAATTCGAAACCGTTCTCGAGATAATCATGGGACAGACGGACAGACGGACAGACATCGTGAAATCAATAAGTGACTTCGCAAGCTTCGCCACTTAATAAGTATATTTTCGGGTTACAATGAGGTAATTTCTATCAGATAATTCAATATAACAATAGTACAATTGCCTAAATAGTGTTGTAAGATGAAAATTTTAACAATAGTCAATACACTATATCTGACCTTGAACTGATGTCATTTGCAGAAAAATAACAGGCTGTATAGATAGGCGTACAAAGTACAAATAACTTCACTGGTTTATGATGCATCTACGACACGAGAAAATACTGTTGGGGGGGGGGGACGTTTTTTTAATACAGAAAAGATAACTGGCAAGTAATGACTGGCATAGAATGTCGACAGGCATAAAGTCTGCCCATTGTTTTGTTACCTTAGTTGTAAGGTGTTACAATGAAGAATAAATAGAGTAATTAAAAAATGTTTCAATTTTTATAGGATAGGGTGACAAACGAGCACACAGTCCACCTGATGGTAAGTGGTTGCTGTGGCCCATAGACATCTACATTTATCCTCCTTTGCGAATCAAAATGCAGATGCGTTGTCACCCGTGAGGACTAAGATGGAATGCCTCCTTTCCAGTAAAAAGGGTCTCCGGTTCTCTATACTCACCATACGAAACAGCAGTGTTAAGCTGCTATTTTACGCTGGTATTCTGTGAGAGCGTGGTCCTTCCCCGGTCGAGCCGACCCATTCGTGCTACAACTATACTACTAATATAGCTGCAGCATGACTCTACCACGTTTAAAAAAATACCGCAGAAATCATGTACAGAATCATACCGCAAACCAATTATATTTTTCATCATTATAAAGTAAGTACATACGTATCGTCAGAGGCTCCATCAATGGAAACCTTCGGCGCGAAATTCACTCATTAACGCGCGTAAACTCCCAGTGTTGCGAGCTTAGCATCTACCTTATGACAGACGTGAGTGCGTGTTCTTACAAAAAGTTGAGCAAATTTTATAAATTAAATAAAACTAATTTTACGGATTGAAATAAGATTTTTTTTAATTTCATTACTGCTTATCATTACAGCTTATCAAAACTCCACTGCTGAACATACGAAGCCTTTTCCTTAATGCTGCTGTGTTTCGTATGGTGAGTGTAGAGAACCGGAGACCCTTTTTACTGGAAACGACATGGGTACTGGTAACCATGGTACATGGTATATATAGGCTACATGGTACCCCCCCCCCCCCCCCGTGACATGGGTACTTGTAAAGCGTCCGAAACGTCAAGAATTAAAAAGTTAAAATTAAATGCGACACTATGCGTAAAATTATTTAACGTGCATGCATTATTCGCGTAAATATAAGAAATCGTTATGGTTTTTTAAGTTGGTTTAACTGCACTAGAAATGTACGCAGCCGTCCGTGGTTCTTTCTTTATTGGTATAAAATTGGGAGCACAGAAAATAAATTAATCGATAGCACACTTATCGACGATAAATCGGTACATTGTCTAATCTAAGTATGTTAAACAAATTTATTGAATAATGTTTTCATTTCTAGAGATCATTTCCAAAACTGTAAATAATAAATTTTTTAGAACATGCAAAGTTCCACAACGCGAATTGGCGCAAAATTAATTGAACACAGAACTGACCTTCACTTATCTGGACGTTTCTTACAGCAACTTTCAGAAAAGAAACATCAATTTGAAAAAAGCAAGTACGAGAATAGAATAGAATAGAGCCACGTTTATTTAATATAGTTTATAAGAACACTTACCGAAAGTCATTTAAGTTTTATCACTGGTTCGGAAAAAATACATAATTGAATGCGCTAAAAATTGTTGCTCGTAATGCTGATTGTAACCGTTGTAAACTTAACTGTTCGGTTAAACCAAATTTAAAATCATTATCATAGCGCGCAAATGTTCACGGTTAACATCCATCGTTTTAAATGAAAACCGCGGGAAACGTTGCAGGTAAATTAATAAAACTTTGTTTTTTTTTTAATATTGAGCAATTGGCTTAGGGAGTTCTTTTTTTAAATAAATTTGCTTTTTAGAAACATATAACACGGGTGCGTTCCATTTTTAAATTTCGAGCATCTCAAAACTTATTGAGTGACCTACGTAGCCGTGTAAGAATATCCACCTCCCTTTATCGTCCTGTGTGTGTCTTAAAAGGAAACCAAATAAGAGATGAGCAGCAGTGTCTTCCTAATAACCAATATAAAACAAAAAATGCGCTTGCCAACCGGCCTGCTAAATGTGGCAAATATTGCAAATATTCCACCAATGAGGCAAACTAATGGGGCGGCCTATGTTTAGCAGTGGACTTTGGCTTAGGCCCTAGCGGTAAGTAACATAACGGAATAAGAATTGAGGCTTTTAAAAATATACCAGGAGTGCATCAATGAATGTTATTACATTTCAAATATTAATCTAGCGATCATGTGGCTTATCATACTATAATCGGTTTGCTAAATGTAACGTCTAGATTAAAATGATCATCGCGTTAGATCATCCACAAGGACAGATAGCATTATATTTCATTTTCTGCAAATACAAAACTATCTTTTTCATTTCTTTTTAAACAAGACTTACAGACCCAAAAATTGAGAATTTTTTGTATCCAGTGGTATACAAACACTGCTGTAGACATCTAACCCACTACACGTACTCCTTAGGGTTAAGATCGAATGTCTCATAGCACAAAAAAATATTTATTTATTTATTTAAACTTTTATGCACAAAAAATAAAATCGTGGACTTAATGCCTTAAAGCATTCTCTCCCAGTCAACCACGAGGCTAAGCAGAGATAAACATATGGGAGATAGCGCTGCAAAATAAATATAGCCTCTTATTATAGTGATCCTTTAACAAGTGGTAGAGCCACGCGGCAGCTTTTGCTGTCGCACGAATGGGCCGGCTCGAACCGGGGTGGTACCACGACCTCACAGAATACCAGCGTGAAGTAGAGGTTTACCTCTGCGTTTCGTTTGGTGAGTGCAGGTGGTCGGAGGCCCTTTTTACTGGAAATGAGGCATTCCATCTTAGTCCTCACGGGTGACAACGCATCTGCATTTTGATTCGCAAACGAGGATAGATGTAGATGTCTATGGGCCGCAACAACTACTTACCATCAGGTGGACTGTGTGCTCGTTTGTCACGCTTATCTTATAAAAAAAAAATCTTCAAACACAAGCACAAGGGTCCACCTGTTGCCCAATAAAGGAAATAGGTAAGAGATTGATATCTACTGTCACTTCAAACCTAAACACCCTGATCACAATGTTTTATATGGTCAGAGTGACAAACGCACATACACTCTATCTGATGATAACTAGATGTTGTGGTTCACATACAGATGTAGATATGTATATCCTTAATTAAGAATAAAAAATAGGTATGTGTTTATGACCACAGTATAGAAGTGAAAACTTCTGATTATAGTTATTTTTTTGCTTTATATAAATAGTATATGAGTATGAACGAATTAAACGCCAATTAGTCTAATTATATAAAAAAATATTTATATGTAAATTAATTGCACGATTCAGTGCATAACCAAGCCGAGCGCGCTTGATTTCGAGTGGAGCCGAGTAAACCCGACTCACCGTCACCGACCCGAGCGTGACCGTTCACTTTCGTTTACTGTTCATAAAAATAACGCGTCTAAAGAAGTTTTTTTTTACATCAAAAATAATGCAGATGCGTTGTTTTCCCAGACGAGCAAAATACAAGTGGTAAAATTAAGAAAATTGTAGAACCGACTGCGACATAAATATAATTTATTGATTTTTATAAAACCGCTCGACCGATTTCGATAAAATTTAAACGGGACCAGACCACCTGGGAAGTATACCCTTTAAAACAAAAAAAGAAGTTTCCAAATCGGTTCAGTCTTCGGGTAGTCGTACACAGACTATCCGAAAACATAAAAAAAAATTCCGTCGATTTGTAAGCCTCTCCTCCTTTTTGAAGTCGGTTGAGCAGCGTACACCGCAGCACAGCTCCCTGCAGTGTAAGGGTGCACTCACACTTGAGGCACTCGGCCGCATTGAGCCCGCAGCACAGCTACCTACAGTGTACGGATGCACTCACACTTGAGGCGGTCGGCCGCACTGAACCCGCAGCACAGCTCCCTGCAGTGTACGGGTGTACTCACACTTGAGGCGGTCGGCGCGCGGGCCGCGGCCGGCCGCACTGAGCCCGCAGCACAGCTCCTTGAAGTCGACGTGCCCGTCGCGGTTCTCGTCGAGCGCGCGCAGCACGCCCGCCACTGCGGCGCGCGGTAAAGGCGGCGACAACAAAGGCGCCAGGCTCTCCGCGTCCAGCTGCCCGCTGACAGACTTATTGCGCAGCGACCAGAACCACTTCTCCAGCTCTATTATATCCTGTCGACAAAATGCACTTTAGCGAACGCTTCCAAGTCTCGTCGTCTAGTGGCGACGTAAGAGAATCCACTACCCCTATGGTTGCCTCCTGCACTTTTAGTATTTAAAATGATAATTTAAGTATTTTAAATGATAATATTAATAACAAATGATAAGTAAAATGATAACCTGGCCGTACCGTAATATGTAGTAGTGGCAGTGTAAGAATACCCACTACCATACCGTCCCGTGGGTGTCGTAAGAGGCCAGAGAGGAACATTAAAACAGCTGCAGCATCTTCCGGATAACAACTATAAATTTAAAAAAAGCTGGGGTTGATAACCCGCCTTACCAAGCGTGGCAACTATGGCAAAATCCTGCTGCCCCGTGTAGTGGCGGGTAAGAATACTCACTATCCCATATCTTCCCGTGGGTGTCGTAAGAGGCGACAGAGGGAAACTGAGGCAGAGGATAAAAACTGCGGTTGCCAACCTGCTCGCCAAGCGGGGCAACTAAGGCAATATACCCCCCATTTACATACGAACAGACATAATCATGCAGCAATGCATAATAAAAGTACAAGTAACAAAGCTCACAAACTCATACATACGATAATACGTACAATACTCCTAATCCATGCTTGGCCAATAAAGGTTAATCTTTAATTTTATAGTCAGTCTGAATAAATAATTACTAAAGAATACACGCCTCTTATTCTCAATACTGTTTAAACAAAGTAAATCGCACCGTGTACCTAAATTACAACAACATAATTATGGTCCTTTCAGCCGGACAGTAGAGAACGGAGATCGGTCAAATATGTCGCCGCGAGAACAAAATCCGTTAGGAGATATGGCGGGGCCTAGTTATTGAAAAACAGCACTGTTTTGCAAAATTTATATTTCACTAGCCGTTGCCCGCGACTTCGCCCGCGTGTATTTTATTACGATTGGATTTCATGGGTTTTAATCGTTTTACACGGTACCCTAATACTTTTTCTAAAATAAAAGTAGCGTAAGTTACTCCTAACAACATCAGCTATCTGCCAGTGAAATTCCTGTCGAAATCGGTCCAGCTGTTTCAGAGTTAGCCGGAACAAATAGACAATAAAAATTGTGTTTTTGTTATTATTACCGTATAGACTTTCATATTCATTTAGAAAGAAGCTGTTATTTTGACATTACAAACAGACACCTTAATTTTATTTATTTTTATAGATGTATAGTTTACTTTACTTTCGGTAAACATAATTCTTTGTGGTGTACAATAGGTACGGAAGTTTTAAGAGCACTAAGTATTGTGGAAGACATTGCACAAATTTTAAAAAGACTCACGTGAACCTAAAATAAATGTCCTAAAGCAAGATTAACGTCTATCTATGACGAGGCGCGTCTCAAATGTATTGAACAACATTGAATGGATTACATTCTCTTATGAATGAATGAACGCCTTTAATCGTCAGCTAATAGTGAGTCGGTTACCCAGGCACTATATTGTTAACTAGGATGTGCGATCAAAATATTGCCTAACTATTTAGTTTTCAAAACGTATTATGTATGGAGTATACCAAAGATGTACAATATTAGAGTACACAACGATCAATACCAAGTATCAAGTACAAAATTATTTCTAAATTTATTTAAATTAAAAAATAAATAATAAGGAATCTAAACATAAAAACATAGACCCCATTAATTTATAAAAAAATAAATCTTAATTTAATAGAAGTATTATTTACCTTATGGTAGCCCAAGTTCGAACTAGAATCTAAGTAGAAATTAAACTAATAGCTAGTTAGTTATTTGCTCACTGGTGTACGAATAGGTTTCACGACAGTCACCCCTAGTCACGGCACTTAGCAGAGTTTGGCATTCAAATGCATTAGATGTACAATAATTAAAAATTTAAAATTTTGCTCAACCGAATTCAATATAAATTATTAAGTATAACTGAAAAACTATTGGTCAGACCTTGATCAAATTTATATGGGACCACTTGTGAAGTACCAGCTTTCAAATAAAAAAGAATCATCGAAATCAGTTCACCCAGAAAAAAATATGAGATAACACACTTAAAAAAACATAGTCGAATTGAGTACCTCCTTCTGTTTGAAGTCGGTAGAAAATATTAATGCCACTCGAGAACCTTTCTTCCCCATCGGTTGTCGGTTCTTCGAGCTATACGGCCGGTACACTGCCACTTCAGCTTACTAATCCGTTGGACTATGTCGGTTACTTTGGTTCTACTGCGGATATCCTCATTTCTAAGTTTATCACGCAGAGAAACCCCGAGCATAGCCCTCTCCATAGCTTGCTGAGCGACCTTGAGCTTCCTCATACGGCCAGCAGTGAAGAACCACGTCTCAGATCCGTAGGTCATCACTGGTAACACGCACTGGTTGTACAATTTCGTTTTATGGTTTTGAGGTATGTGTCGTAGTTTCCCGAACGCTGCCCAGCCGAGTTGAATCCGTCGATTGACCTCTCGGTCGAAGTTGGACTTACCTAGTCTAATACGCATCAACATATTGTGAAGCAGCATACTATGAAGAATAATTATTATAATATAATATTGTAACTTCAGGCTCAGAAGGGCTAGATCCCAGAGCCGTAAAGCCAGTTATTAAGAAGAAGAAGAAGATACATGTACATAATATATCTAAAAATTCAAGAAGAAAACATTTTGAGGACATGATGTGGAGTCATCAAAACACATTGGACTGCGCAGCGAACTCAAAACCTCCACCCATTGGTGGAATATACTGCTAGCTAAATAACTTTACATTTTTGTAATATCTTACGAACACGGCAGATGAAATAAAAATCAATTGAGAACTTATTGAGAGCATCGACGGAGCGCCTTGTAATGTTCAATCGACAGAATCATATTTAGGACACTAATATGTAAGCGAGGAATATGCTCGGTTACTTCGATAGAAAATTCCAGAATTTCCGTTACCAATATAGGCAGTTTAACACAAGATCATTAAGTACAATATAACAAGTGAGCTCATTAATTATTGATTAAAACAGCCTACCCAAGTCTATCTCTGAACATAGGTCTCCACAGTAGATTGCCTCTGAAGAGCGATCTACGCTTTTATTTATTTGTTCGGAACACCAGCTGCATGGAAACAATTCACTTATTACAAAATTTAAAATAAACATAGCTATTAAAAGGTCGCGTATGAAAATTAAATTTTCTTTTTATAGGATAAGGGTGACAAACGAGCACACAGTCCACATGATGGTAAGTGGTTGCTGTGGCCCATATACACCTACCTTCGATTACGAATCATTTACGAAAACGAAAGCGTTGTCACCCGTGAGGACTAAGATGGAATGCCTCTTTTCCATTAAAAAGGGTCTCCGGTTCTCTACACTCACCATACGAAACACAGTAGCGTTAAGCTGCTATTTTACGCTGGTATTCTGTGAGAGCGTGGTCCTTCCCCGGTCGAGCCGACCTATTCGCGCTACAACCATAATATAGCTGCAGCATGGCTCTACCACGGGTAAAAATGTATTTAGACCACCCAAGCTTTTCTTGAAAACAAAATCAACCACTTAAAAATACAGAAGGGGGGGGGGGGAATACCTAAAAATTGTGGCACGCATAGAGTGGGGACCGAAAAACTCTTAAGGCAAACAACTTGTTGATATTTGAAGGCTTCCGTAATAATTCCAAGTTGCAGTTACCTAATGAGAGATGGTTGAAAAAGTTACTTGCGCGAATAAGGAAAGAGTTAGTGTCAGCTCTGGGTATTGCTAAACGGAAAATACCTATAACACATATCCAAATGAGTAATAGGTAATTTGCGTGGTATGCAGGTGTTAACTTGCTTTAATGAGGGAGGACAGTCGATGAGACTGAAAACAATTTGTAACAGATACAAAATGTCAGATATTTGCAGTCTTCTGTCTAGGAGTAAAATGTGAAATCTCCTAAGGCTCGTCTCGTACTCATGATCTACTCGAACGCCACGCCATAGTTGCCATGTTTGGCAAGCAGGAAAAAATAAAAATATAAATATTAAAATACAATAAAAAAGAAAATTCAACTAAAATGATAAATTAATAATAAAACTGCACCAAAAAGGGGCAATTTTACAATCTATACAAATAGATAAAATTGAAGTGTCTGTTTGTAATATTAAAATAACAGCTTTTTACTAAATGCATATGAAAGTATATACGGTACTTATAACAAAAACACAATTTTGTCTGTCTGTCTGTCTGTTTGTTCCAGCTAATCTCCGAAACGGCTAGACCGATTTCGACGGGACTTTCACTGGCAGATAGCTGATGTTATAGGAGTAACTTACGCTACTTATATTTTAGAAAAAGTATTAGGGTTCCGCGCAACATAATTAAAACCCTAAATCACACGCGGGCGAAGTCGCGGTGAACAGCTAGTTACAAACAAAAGTAGAAGCCTTATTTACTCGTATTTTCAAAAACTGCAATAACGGTATATCATTATTTATATATTATTTGAACTTAAGTATAACTTAAAATTTGGCTACTCCTTGAAAAATAACCCTGTACCTATATGTTCATTGTTTCTAAAACCGAACCCGAGTAGAAGCACTTCTGGTTCCTTCTTCGTCATCAGCCCGTAAGAGTCCTGAGCTGAACATCGGCTTCTTCCGTTGTAGAGTGGACTTGCTTTAATCGTCGCGCTTGGCAGGAGGATCGACGAACGCAGTATCAGATTTCTCACACCTTTGGCGCTGCTACCCGTCATCGGAGTCATTTTAGTTCTACATAGTATGTAAACAAGATTGTTATACAGCCATCTTTCGGAAGCCACGAGAATAAACACTCACGCCTGTCACCCAGAGGGGTAGGCAGAGACTATGGACTTCCATTTGGCATGGTCCTGACACACCTCTCTCGCTTCCTCCACATCCATATACCTACGCATACATGCTCGTCGGTTAAAGGTACTCTTGATTTGGCCCATTTTCAATATATCGCCAATTTGGTCGAACTTTCGCCTAGGGCGTCCCTTCCCGACTC